GACGAAGAGTTTATATGAGAAAGCCGCTTTTTCATGCTTTCTCCAAAACTTAGGAGGGGAGGGGAAGGTGGGGGGGGGGGTTTGCTCATATTTAGCCATCTGATAATCGCTGCCAAACTCTAAGAGGGGTTTTTCTCTATTTAGCCCCTAAAAAAATATTAATGGTTATGAGATATCATTACGTCAAAAGCTAAATTTTGGACGTGGAGTATTTGGGGTGCTGTTTGTAATCAATGTGTTTTTGTTATTTGTGTTCTGTAAAAAACACTCATGCCATGAGTTTGTTCAAAGTTGAAATACCATTTTGGCGTCAAACTAGTCGCCATATTAGTATAGCAGCAGGTGGCGGCGACTGGACGGCCGGTTTTGGGTCGCCGAACGACTGCGCCGAGCGGCGGTGGCCCGTGAATGACGATTTTTGCTATCCGGCAGGTGAACGAGTGGTAGGCGGCGGGCGATGTCGGGCCGGGCGATGGCCGCAACGGACGCCGGGACCGGGCCGGCTGCGGGTCCTTGGTTTTTTGTGGCTATGTGGCGGCTGGTCGGCCGACGATTTGGTCGCGAACGCGGCGGGGCGACGGCGGTCTGCCGACGGTTTCGTGTCGGCAGGCGGGTGCGTCGACGTAGGCTTGGCCGGCTTCGGTGTTTTTGGTCGGCCGGCTTGGCTACTTCGGTGTCTTTTGGCGTGCTGGTGTGGTCAAGCGGTCATTGGATGGGCTACGACAGAGCGCCGCGGGCGGCGTGCGGTTCGACTGGCCAACGGCGGAGCCGACGAGTCGGTTGCATGGTTGATGGCGGTCGGTCTCGCGAACGGGGGAAAGGGTGGCGGTGGTCCGGCTGACGCCCGGCGGGTGGCAGTGGGCGAGGGCGACGGCTGGCGGTTGTGGCGACGGCGGCGGACTGGCAGCGGTGGCGGGGGACCAACAACGGCGGTGGCGACGCGATCACACGGACGACCTTAGACATGAAAAAACAAAAATTGAATCTTTAAACACTTTTTTAGTGTTTTGAGAAAAGTGTTTAATTTTTAGATTTTGTAAATGGACAAGTCAAAAAAAAACGTCCCGGTTGCCAAACATGTTTCTTTGTTTTTGTTGAAAAAAAAACAGAAACGTTAAAAATGCCACGGTTGCCAAACGCTCCCGTTGTTTTTGATGTTGCCCTTGCATCTGGACATATTATATTAACAAACTCTTTCACAATTCTATTTGATAATTAAAATATATTAACTCATTTACCCTGTCATACCGATTTTTTTTGTTTGGTAAGTTAATGATGGTTAATTTTTTTAATTTATAAGTTAACAAACATATGTTACTATATTTGCAAAGGTGTTAAAGAAACATTTCGCTACACGATCTATTTCTCTCCCAAAAAGAAAAAAAGAGGGTCAAGATCTGCCCAAGATTCTGGACTATTGTCAGTATACTTTCAAGCCGAATAAATAGAGCCAACAGCTTCGGTGCTCCATGGCATATTCTGTAAATAGAAAAAGCCTAAAATCTAGCTTTCTAATCCATAATTTAAGGGATTATGCGGTTGATAGGCCTTCCACACCTACATTTGTAAATAGGTTGAACTTAGAGGGTAGTTTTGGAGTTGAAAACATCATAGAAAAGGATAAAACTAATATTTGAGAAGGGTTAGTTTTCTTCAACTAATTTCTCACAAAATCTAATTTGGTCGTATTCTATCATATTAGATTTCTCTCTTCTAATTTTCCTTCCATATTTATGACAAAAAACTGGTATTATAATGCAAAGTTGTATTTAAAATAGATATTATTGTTCTTGCTTTTAGTCATATTGTATAAAATTATGCATAACATGCATATGTCAATTCCTTTCTTATCATTATAAAGAGGAATAAAATAAACTGTCGATTGTAAAATTACACTTTTATTTATATTTTCACTGAAAAGATTTAGAACTAAGTCAGAGGATCTTTCTACATACTAACATTAACAAATTGATACCCATTTACGAGAAAATATTCATTTAGAAATAAGTGTAATAAATTGTATTGATTTATATTCTTTTGTACATTGAAAAATCAAAATCTGAAAATTACACTATTATATGTTTGTTTAAACATGTATATAAGCTCCAAATTAGGCTAAACTAAATTATCAATTTTAACTTAACCTAAAAAGTATACCATGTGCATTGCACGTGTGCAATTCACCTAGTAAACGTGAAACAAGGGAGGTGGGTGAAGTGGTTATAGACAGAGAAATAATAGGATAGGAATTGAAAAGAAAAGGACAAATGCACCATTGTTATTTTCAGCCCAAATTTTTAATTTTCCATCCATTTAAAAATTATAAAAATTCTTATTTTCGGAGCATCAAAGCATAACTCATAAATAGAAGCCCAATACCAAACTTTTCAAAAATTTAAAATTTGCACCCTGAGCCTTCATATTGTGAATTAGTCCCCTAAAATTTTAAGTATTTTTAAAATTTATTCTCCGAAATCTCCTGAAATTGGTTCTCAAAATCTATTTGTTTTGAAATTAGTCCCCGGAATCTCCCAACCTGTTGCTAACTAGATGGACTAATTTCGGAAGATTAAAAAGTTTGGGAGAACAAATTTCATAAAATGAAGATACAGGGACTAAGGGGGGGTTTGGTTCAATTTTTAGAAATTATAGGAAATGTTTTCCACCTAAAATATGATTTCCTTGTATTTCTTAAAAAAATTATAGGAAAAGTTTTGAGAAATAAAAAAATATCAATTTTCTTGTTATTTGTACTTTGCTTGTTTGGTTCAAAACAAGAAAATAGCTCATAACTTTATAGAAAATAACAAGATTTGGTAGGTTTTTAATTAAATATGGTATGTGTCAGATTTCTGGTGATTTCCTCTCATTTTGAGAGGAAATTATTTTTTTTAAAATTTGGTAGGTTTTGATATTTTATAGAAAATATTTCTGTAAATTTTTTATTGAACCAAACATAATTTACAAAAATATACGAAAAACTTTTAATTATAAATTTACCATTATCAGAAAAGTTTTCTTAAAAAATGTGCAACCAAACCGACCCTAAGTCAAAATACGTACATATTTAAGGGAATTATTTTAAAATGTGAAAATTTCGGGATAAATTTTAGGCACAAACATCGGAACAAACTATTTTAGAGACCGAAGATCTTCAGCCTCTCTGTCCCTCTCTCTCTCTCTTTCTCTCTCTCCAATGGAGTTCAGAGATCCGGGCAGCTACAGTGCTCCTCCTCATCTTTATAATCCTCCTGCAGCTCAACAAAACCCTAACCTGCACCAGTACCACCAATCACTGATCCCTCAGCCGTCGTCCTACCCCCAAAACCCTAACCCTAACCCTAACCCTAATCCCGTCCATGCGAAAACCCCTTTCTACTCCCGCGCCCCCGCCGCCGCTTCTCCGACGTGGCTCCTGCCTCCGGGGTTCGATCGCTACCCAGCTCGTACGCTTCTATCGGCGCGAGGCGCGCCGTCGCCGATTACTCGCACAGGCTTCCTTATGCTTGCCATCCCCAACCGGCCGCCGCCACTGGTAACTACTATCTGCAGTACCAGCAGCAGCAGAGCGCCTATGGAGTTGTGAGTAAATTCATATGTTTTTGTATTGTTAATTTAGGTTTTTGATGGGTTAATTATCATTCTCATTGGGGTTCATAATCTCGAGTTGCATTGAGTTTCTGGCCTTAAATAACTGATTATGTTGCTCTAAATAAATCACATTGTGCTGAACCTATTATTCCCTTGAACGAGAAATACTAACTGCCCTTGAAGGGAAAATAATATTATTTACTGGTCCTCTCAAATATTATTGTGCCATTGCCCGCCAATAGAGAAACGTTTAATTACCAAAAATGGGGGATTTCACAAGAGCTTTAACCATCCTAGAATTTTTGCAAAAATAAGGGTGAAGGGTTCATGGGATGACGTGGTTGCCATTACCAAAAAATTGCATTATTGCTTCAACTTTGGAGTTAAGGGATCTGGAGAAACTTGCCTCGGGAAGAAGAATGATTACATGAAACGAGGACCTATGTGACTATTCTTACACATGGCCACATAGGCTTTAAAACAAAATATCGCCTATGCTACCATCTCTTCTTTAACAGAAGAAGCAAAGCATATGTTTCTAAATAGTCCATTGTTCTACCAGGATCATGCTATAGGCACATGTGAGGTCAAAGACAAGGCTGTAAGGAGGTCATGGGGTGCAAATTTTCCTACTTCTTACTTTGTTCTTTTAGATACTAACCATGGAAAAATTAATATTTGCAGATGTTAAATGATAAACATTCTACAAGTTCACGCAGACAAACTCACACAAACACATGTGTGCATACAGAGTTCAAAAATTTGTATGTGGTGGTATCACACACATTTCAATCATTTGTATGAGGTGGAATCTCACTAAATGAACTATCAATATATAGACTAGTAGTGAGGTTCATCATGTTCGGCATGTTAGTTCAAATCAGAGAAGGTGGTCATCACCACTCTAGTCACTTGATACTTGGTACCTTATTTCACTAGATGAGGCAACAACTCATTCCCAATATTCTCTCAATTTATATGATTAGTTCTTAGTTTTTTATTTTCTTTATATTTTTTGTTTAGAATCTTAATGTAATGTGTTTTTGATATTATTCATAAGGGAACTGTAAGAAAAGGCATATTTTCAAATGTGCATCACATATTTAAAGTATCAAGCATCAGAAGTGCATTAAAAAATGTAGACACCGTAACAAAGTTAAAAACATATTTTTGTGATACCCCATGATTTAATCCGAAATCGGATATTGATTGAGTGATTGAATGGTTTAAATGACGGGTCTTGAGAGCCAAGTGTAACATGAAGTAATCAATTTTGGTAGTGGATTGAGTTAAACCATGTGCTGCACTCTATGTGTCCCAAGACTTACATTGCGCCAACGGAATCGCCAGCTCGGGATGTGACAAATGGTATCAAAACAGTTAGCCAGTCGGAAATGTGATGCTAAGTGCTATATGAGATTATGTGCTACACCGTATGAGTGTAATGAGAGCCACCTTTAGAAGCCTGTATGAGCCACCTCTAGAGTCCACATTACCTAATGGTGATACTGGGAAGGACCGATTGTCATGCCGCAACTAGGACATCTCATAATTAAGGTGAGGTGATTGTGATACCCCATGATTTAGCCCCAAGTTGCATATTGATTGAATGGTTGAATGGTTTTTAAATGATGAGTCTTGAGAGCGAAGTGTAACATTGACTAGTTAATTTTGGCCGTGGCTTGAACCAAACCATGCATTGTACTCTGTGGATCCCATGACTTAATCTCGTGCCAACAAGCTCGCATGCCTAAGGTGTGACAATTTTATCATCAATGACGCACCTCCTATACATGTTCATAATGGAACACATTAGATAAATGGCCTACAGTAATTCAATGACCACTCAAGCAGTGTTGAACTTGTGACTACTCTTGACAGGATTGTTGCTTTTATGTGTTGGATATTGTTTGGATAACCCTAGTGCTTAAGCACCTTGCTTTGTATAATGCAGTGAAGGTTTATGAGTCTGGACTCACTAAAAGCAGGAAATGACTCTTCTTACTGTTTTAACATGTCTAACAGTAAATTCGACTCTAATTTAATGTCCATTCTGAAAGGTCAATGAAGTATGTTATGTTCAAGAACGCTAGGCAAAAGAGACAGTTAAAAAACTCAAGAGATGTTTCATTTTCCGCTGAATGTTTAGAAGCTGAAACTTCTGCACACTAAGATTCAATGGCCTTTTCTTGATTATTATAGAATAACCACTCTTATATTCAAACTTTCATGCCGAAAGGTAATACTCAGTTGGGACAAGATGTTATTCCACCTGAGGAAAGAAGGTGTGCATGTGTGTGTGTGGGGGGGGGGGGGAAATATCCTTTATTCCAATATTATCATATAATTATACCTTGTGTTTGTGTGCTTCTTTATTCAGCAGAAACTCAAGACAGACTAATAGTGAACTCTTGTTGGTATCCCTAATAAACCCAGATTGTTAAATAGAGACTGAAACGTTTACTGAGTGAAATGTCCTTGGGATTCCTAATTCTTATGATTGTTATGTTGGAGAAATTTTTAACAAAATTTATTTGGTAATGTTAGAATATAAAACTATAATTCTCGACCCTTACCATAACTTCGGAGTTTTGATATATTAGAGACACTTTCACATGCTGTCAGAGCCAACCCTAGTTTGAATCTTGCTAGCCATGAATTTAATGCAGATTTAAAAAAAAATTGTTACCGCTACGTGAGTCTAGGTTCCAGCCATTAAAAAAAGGCGTTCAACTTGCGAGGGCATGTTAGAATATAAACTATAATCCTTGATGCTTATCATAACTTTGGAGTTTTGGTGTAATGGTTAGAGAGACTTAATCTAAGAGGTACATGAGCGAATCAGATTGTTAAAGGTCTCACAGTTAGGTCTTCTTACTGTCTTTCTGGATTCTGATGATAACTATTGAAATAACAAATAGCTGTCCAGCATTTGAACACACAAGGCCTAATCTGGTGCATTCATTCTGTGTTATGTTGAACGTACTTTGTTGCATCGTATGATTACTTTAGTAATGGTTATTGCATCATGCTTTTGTTTTACTGACCTAATATTAAGGTGCTGTTTGGCTCATGGAAAATTGCATCTGCAAGGGTGCAACTGATGGTGAAGTCGTGTATATTTGTTTGACGAACCGACTTATTTGCTAATTTATTAGATATCTACAACTATGCTAGGTTTCTGCTTTGTTGATCAAGAACTAATTCTTTTTTGCTGCAGTGATACAATTCATAATATGCGCTAGTGTTTTTTCTGGAAAATAAAATGTGATGTGTGCTTTCTGACCACTTTTTTTGTGCAAAGGTTGAAACTGGGACTACAGCTGCAGAGTTGGAGGCAAAAAGGCACAAACTTATTGCGGGTGGTGCACCACCAGAATCAGTTAGAATATGCTCGGTATGCAATATCGTGTGCAACAGTGATAAGGTGTTTGCGCTTCATCTTGCTGGACAAATGCATGCCCACAAGGTAAACAATTGTCAGGTTATAGCTTTAGCCATCAGTGGCTCACAATATCTTTTGAATTCAAATATACATAAAATGTAGAATATTTTTGTCTGTAGTTTCTAAATCATCGTTGAGCTTTAGATTACTAATATGTGAAATAAAATGATGTTTATGATCATTTGCGGAAATGCTGGCCTATTGTTATATAGAAGTTGGTTGTAATTAGGATACACTTGAAGGATGATATTTGTTACAAATGTAATGAACTTGATACGTAGCTCTCTAGCGTGCAATTTTTTATATGAATAATTGAATATATTTCAAGTAATTAGATTCATTATCAGCTGGTGCAAATTGGTTATATTCCTCGATTTTGGGCATGAATAAGGAAAAATGTTGCTTTTATCTTGGAGAAAGCTACCATCAAGATCTGTGTATCTTAGCAAGACATAGCTTTATCTAGAGTAAGCATTTTGTAGTATGCCTCAATGAAGTATCTATTCTTTGATTAAGTGACATGAAGTTATATCAAAAGCAAATAACATTATGCAACTTTAACCATTGACTTCATTCGTTCAGGTGAAATGTCTGTCCTCACTGTTAACACAATTACGGAAGATGGGAAGATGATCCCACCTCTTCTATGTAATTGTTAATCCATGCATTGAAGTTGTGGAGGGGTTAAAAGGGAATAAATTTGAATCGAGATAGTGCTTAAAAACTAAGTAATGGGGGAGTTTTGTCTATTGGAGAAGAATCTTACGAGGGTTTTGTTAAAGTAGACTCTTTCTTTCCCCCACATTATTAATGATATCAATCATATATGATTAGTTGGATGTTTAATTTATTGGCAGATGCAAATAAAATCGGTCAGTCCTCAAGGAAATTCGTCTAAATGCAGAGTGATGCTTTGTGGTTGCTCCGTTTTAATATAGGACGAAAGATCATAGATGATATTGATTAGCCTAGTTATGAATATGAATGTTTCTTTCTCAAATAATCTTGTGCCATATGTATTCAACTCTGAGAGTGCTTTGTTTTTCACTTGGCTTCTTAGCTAATGTGTTCAGTCACTGAAGAATTGATTTTGGATTGCTAGTAGGGATGTAAATCAGTGACTATTTAAAGGAGGCCCTAAATGCAGAGTCATGCTGTGCTTCTGTCTAGTTCTGATGTACAAAAGATTGTGGATGAGAGTGCTAAGTAGTTAATTTTGCTTGCATTTATTCACGTGAATGTCCCTTTCTTAAAGAATATATGTCGCTTTCAATCTATTTCTCGAAATATTTCATCCTGCAGGCCTTTGGAATACCACTCAGTGCATCAAAGCTGAAGGTTCCCGCCCATGTGAAAGCCCTGCACTCAACCATAAAGCCAAAGGTTCCTAATGCTGCTCGTAGGCCAGTCTCTCAGGGTCTCATTACCTTTGTGCAATCATCATATTGTGATGTCTGTAAGGTACATTGCGACACCCAGGAAGTCCTCAATAGCCACAAATTAGGCAAAAAGCACATGAAAAACTTGCAGAAGCTTCAACAGTCTCTCAAGCCAAAGCCTGAAACCCAAAGTCTTCCCACCCAGCCATCATATTGTGATGTTTGCAAGGTACACTGCAACACTGAAAACGTCCTCAGTAAGCACAAATTGGGCAGAAGACACGTGAAAAACTTGCAGAAGCTTCAAGAGTCTCTCAACCCAAAGCCTGAAACCGACAATAACAACAACAACACAGTGAATGAACCCGCAAAGCAAGACTCTGCATCAAAAGTGGAGGAGGATCTGGAGACAAAGAAGCAGAAGGTTTTGAGCGGAGGAGCTGCAGCTGATGCAGTTAGAGAGTGCACTTACTGCAATGTTGTTTGCAACAGTGAGGTGGTGTACTGTTTTCATGTTTCAGGGAAGAAGCATATTGCTGCAATGAAGAAACATCAAGAGGCGCAGCAGCAGCAGCAGTAGCGTTGACTAGTTAATTTTGGCCGTGGCTTGAACCAAACCATGCATTGTACTCTGTGGATCCCATGACTTAATCTCGTGCCAACAAGCTCGCATGCCTAAGGTGTGACAATTTTATCATCAATGACGCACCTCCTATACATGTTCATAATGGAACACATTAGATAAATGGCCTACAGTAATTCAATGACCACTCAAGCAGTGTTGAACTTGTGACTACTCTTGACAGGATTGTTGCTTTTATGTGTTGGATATTGTTTGGATAACCCTAGTGCTTAAGCACCTTGCTTTGTATAATGCAGTGAAGGTTTATGAGTCTGGACTCACTAAAAGCAGGAAATGACTCTTCTTACTGTTTTAACATGTCTAACAGTAAATTCGACTCTAATTTAATGTCCATTCTGAAAGGTCAATGAAGTATGTTATGTTCAAGAACGCTAGGCAAAAGAGACAGTTAAAAAACTCAAGAGATGTTTCATTTTCCGCTGAATGTTTAGAAGCTGAAACTTCTGCACACTAAGATTCAATGGCCTTTTCTTGATTATTATAGAATAACCACTCTTATATTCAAACTTTCATGCCGAAAGGTAATACTCAGTTGGGACAAGATGTTATTCCACCTGAGGAAAGAAGGTGTGCATGTGTGTGTGTGGGGGGGGGGGGGAAATTTTCTGTTAGGATCTGAAAATTTAAAATTTATCCTTTATTCCAATATTATCATATAATTATACCTTGTGTTTGTGTGCTTCTTTATTCAGCAGAAACTCAAGACAGACTAATAGTGAACTCTTGTTGGTATCCCTAATAAACCCAGATTGTTAAATAGAGACTGAAACGTTTACTGAGTGAAATGTCCTTGGGATTCCTAATTCTTATGATTGTTATGTTGGAGAAATTTTTAACAAAATTTATTTGGTAATGTTAGAATATAAAACTATAATTCTCGACCCTTACCATAACTTCGGAGTTTTGATATATTAGAGACACTTTCACATGCTGTCAGAGCCAACCCTAGTTTGAATCTTGCTAGCCATGAATTTAATGCAGATTTAAAAAAAAATTGTTACCGCTACGTGAGTCTAGGTTCCAGCCATTAAAAAAAGGCGTTCAACTTGCGAGGGCATGTTAGAATATAAACTATAATCCTTGATGCTTATCATAACTTTGGAGTTTTGGTGTAATGGTTAGAGAGACTTAATCTAAGAGGTACATGAGCGAATCAGATTGTTAAAGGTCTCACAGTTAGGTCTTCTTACTGTCTTTCTGGATTCTGATGATAACTATTGAAATAACAAATAGCTGTCCAGCATTTGAACACACAAGGCCTAATCTGGTGCATTCATTCTGTGTTATGTTGAACGTACTTTGTTGCATCGTATGATTACTTTAGTAATGGTTATTGCATCATGCTTTTGTTTTACTGACCTAATATTAAGGTGCTGTTTGGCTCATGGAAAATTGCATCTGCAAGGGTGCAACTGATGGTGAAGTCGTGTATATTTGTTTGACGAACCGACTTATTTGCTAATTTATTAGATATCTACAACTATGCTAGGTTTCTGCTTTGTTGATCAAGAACTAATTCTTTTTTGCTGCAGTGATACAATTCATAATATGCGCTAGTGTTTTTTCTGGAAAATAAAATGTGATGTGTGCTTTCTGACCACTTTTTTTGTGCAAAGGTTGAAACTGGGACTACAGCTGCAGAGTTGGAGGCAAAAAGGCACAAACTTATTGCGGGTGGTGCACCACCAGAATCAGTTAGAATATGCTCGGTATGCAATATCGTGTGCAACAGTGATAAGGTGTTTGCGCTTCATCTTGCTGGACAAATGCATGCCCACAAGGTAAACAATTGTCAGGTTATAGCTTTAGCCATCAGTGGCTCACAATATCTTTTGAATTCAAATATACATAAAATGTAGAATATTTTTGTCTGTAGTTTCTAAATCATCGTTGAGCTTTAGATTACTAATATGTGAAATAAAATGATGTTTATGATCATTTGCGGAAATGCTGGCCTATTGTTATATAGAAGTTGGTTGTAATTAGGATACACTTGAAGGATGATATTTGTTACAAATGTAATGAACTTGATACGTAGCTCTCTAGCGTGCAATTTTTTATATGAATAATTGAATATATTTCAAGTAATTAGATTCATTATCAGCTGGTGCAAATTGGTTATATTCCTCGATTTTGGGCATGAATAAGGAAAAATGTTGCTTTTATCTTGGAGAAAGCTACCATCAAGATCTGTGTATCTTAGCAAGACATAGCTTTATCTAGAGTAAGCATTTTGTAGTATGCCTCAATGAAGTATCTATTCTTTGATTAAGTGACATGAAGTTATATCAAAAGCAAATAACATTATGCAACTTTAACCATTGACTTCATTCGTTCAGGTGAAATGTCTGTCCTCACTGTTAACACAATTACGGAAGATGGGAAGATGATCCCACCTCTTCTATGTAATTGTTAATCCATGCATTGAAGTTGTGGAGGGGTTAAAAGGGAATAAATTTGAATCGAGATAGTGCTTAAAAACTAAGTAATGGGGGAGTTTTGTCTATTGGAGAAGAATCTTACGAGGGTTTTGTTAAAGTAGACTCTTTCTTTCCCCCACATTATTAATGATATCAATCATATATGATTAGTTGGATGTTTAATTTATTGGCAGATGCAAATAAAATCGGTCAGTCCTCAAGGAAATTCGTCTAAATGCAGAGTGATGCTTTGTGGTTGCTCCGTTTTAATATAGGACGAAAGATCATAGATGATATTGATTAGCCTAGTTATGAATATGAATGTTTCTTTCTCAAATAATCTTGTGCCATATGTATTCAACTCTGAGAGTGCTTTGTTTTTCACTTGGCTTCTTAGCTAATGTGTTCAGTCACTGAAGAATTGATTTTGGATTGCTAGTAGGGATGTAAATCAGTGACTATTTAAAGGAGGCCCTAAATGCAGAGTCATGCTGTGCTTCTGTCTAGTTCTGATGTACAAAAGATTGTGGATGAGAGTGCTAAGTAGTTAATTTTGCTTGCATTTATTCACGTGAATGTCCCTTTCTTAAAGAATATATGTCGCTTTCAATCTATTTCTCGAAATATTTCATCCTGCAGGCCTTTGGAATACCACTCAGTGCATCAAAGCTGAAGGTTCCCGCCCATGTGAAAGCCCTGCACTCAACCATAAAGCCAAAGGTTCCTAATGCTGCTCGTAGGCCAGTCTCTCAGGGTCTCATTACCTTTGTGCAATCATCATATTGTGATGTCTGTAAGGTACATTGCGACACCCAGGAAGTCCTCAATAGCCACAAATTAGGCAAAAAGCACATGAAAAACTTGCAGAAGCTTCAACAGTCTCTCAAGCCAAAGCCTGAAACCCAAAGTCTTCCCACCCAGCCATCATATTGTGATGTTTGCAAGGTACACTGCAACACTGAAAACGTCCTCAGTAAGCACAAATTGGGCAGAAGACACGTGAAAAACTTGCAGAAGCTTCAAGAGTCTCTCAACCCAAAGCCTGAAACCGACAATAACAACAACAACACAGTGAATGAACCCGCAAAGCAAGACTCTGCATCAAAAGTGGAGGAGGATCTGGAGACAAAGAAGCAGAAGGTTTTGAGCGGAGGAGCTGCAGCTGATGCAGTTAGAGAGTGCACTTACTGCAATGTTGTTTGCAACAGTGAGGTGGTGTACTGTTTTCATGTTTCAGGGAAGAAGCATATTGCTGCAATGAAGAAACATCAAGAGGCGCAGCAGCAGCAGCAGTAGCGGAGTTAGTTTTCATAACAGGGGGTTTTATCTGGTACCTGTAACTGAATCTATTTAGTTCCCGTTTGGATTTAGTTTGGATTTAATTTATACGAAGTCATTGCTCATGTTAAATTGCTTTTCTTACCGCTTTTTGGGGATATCCAATGTCGAGAAATGCACTGCTAATAATTGCTTTTCTTATCGCTTTTTGGGGATATCCAATGTCGAGAAATGCACTGCTAATAATTGCTTTTCTTATCGCTTTTTGGGGATATCCAATGTCGAGAAATGCACTGCTAATAAGGGCTTGAGTTTCCTTTTCCGAAAATGTTTATTTTTACTCTTTGGAATACTATTTTGTTACTCAAGAGCCTGAGTTTTTCTAATTTTATTCTTTGAGCTATGGAACCTAGATTCATTACGTTGTGGTTCTCTTTGCTGCCCATTATTTTGTCATGTGAGCTTTCGAGCCTAATTCATCAGTTATTGTCTGTCTTTTGAATTGCTTTGTGGGTTTCATGCATCTTATGGCGATCTGACATGAGTCGACCCATTATTACCTTGTAATAACAGCAACAAAAACGTCTTTTATCCTAAATCGGTTAAGAATCGTATTATGTTAGTTTGCAATGTTAATCACTGTCATGCCCTTATTTGTTTTCAATCAAGTTTTTCTTATATCTTACTCTATTACTTATAATCCTTTCATTTTTTCTGAAATCGGTGTCTAACAATCTCTCCCCGAGTGACAAAGCATCTGAATACATTAAAGAGTAGATATTTTATCGAAATATTCTCATCAAATAAGATATTTTATCGAAATATTCTCATCAAATGAGGTGATCTAAACTATTTACGGGTCTATACCATTTATGGATAGGGTTAAGTTTGAAAGCTTAGCTATGTCAATTTGACGCAAACCACTTCATTCCTCTAGAGGTGTTTTGAAAGGAGATTATTATTCCTAGAAAATTACCCTTCTTTGCGGATCAGAATGATCCTTTTCCTATCTGAATACTTCACATTCATCTTTTTGGAATGCAATCATATCTCATCTTTTTGGAATGCAATCATATCTCAAAATGATGTTTTTTTCCAACAAATTATATGGAAACCAGGCTCTGGTAACAAAATAAGATTTTGAGAAGATAAATGGCTTGGAGTAACTCCTTAGCCAGTCTATATCCCTCTCTATATAACCTGGCTTTTTCTATAAATGTTCCCATAAGTAGCCAAGGACGTCTCCAAGCTAATGAATGGCATTGACATCTTTTGCTTAAGAGAAGCTTAAATCAAGCATCACATTTTGACAGAATGCAGCTCATGAATATCATTGGAGCTTTTTCTGTCAACAATCAACATGATCAGGCAAAGTGGTCTCTCACTTCTACAGTGGTATTCTTAGTAAAATCCTTATACATTTTTCTCAATTCTAGAGGAATTCAATCTCCTATATACAAAGGCATTTGAAATCCTCTCCTACCGAGCAAGGTTTAGTTTTTTACTTGGTTATTGTTCAATGACAAGTTGCACACTAAGGATTTTCTAACTCTAAAAGGCTGGCAAGGTGATACATTATGCAACTTTTGTGGTTTGGAAGATGAATGTCGAGAACATCTTTTCTTTTCATGCCATTTATCAGTGCAAATATGGAGACATTTTCAAAAGTATGAGTTATATTTTCAATGGCCACATACTTTCATGGAGCTTCTACAATCTGTAGAACATTTAAAAGACATGCATGACGTCTGATTTTTTCTGCTACATGCTGGAACATATGGCTTACAAGGAATAAGCTTATTTTTTATCATACTCCTTTCTCATACAAATCCATTATTAATCAAATTATTTCTGGAATTTATGAATGGACAAGTGCAAGAAAAGGTTCGGTGGCTCAACGCCTATCTAAAACACTAGAACATCACGGCGGGGAGAATGTTTAAGAAAGCTTGGAGAATATACAGGAAGTTGACTTTGAAGATCTTTTGAAGTCTTTTTGTAACTTTTTTTTTGTTTCTGAACAGTTATGTTTTTTAATCTTTTGTTTGTTAGTTTATAGAAAATCTAATTCAAGTAAATATACGTATGGCTGACTTTGGTTCTTTCTTATATTTGTGTCAACGATGAGTGACGGCAATGCCCACTCCTCATCTTCACAGATCTCTGAAAGAAGAAAGTTATACGTCCCTATTTATTTGAATTTTATTTTCTATCTACCAACATTTGGATACAATTCGTATCCTACTTTTTGTAACTATAACATCTATATTTTATTTTAATGAACGGGAAGCATCCCCTGTTTTTTTGTCAAAAAAAAAAAAAAAAGAATGATCCTTTTCCTTTTCCCTAAACGAGTATGGGGTTTTTGTTTTAGGGGCTGTTTGTTTGCTAAAAAAAAAGGAAATTGAGCTTTTGTGACCTGACAAGAGCTCCACGTCGGTTTTTGATTTCTACCCATTTCCATTTCCCGCGTTTGGTTTAGTGAGAGTTTTAAAGAAATGGAGCTGTGAAATGAGGTGCTACATCAGAATTTGTAGAAAACTCATTTCAGTCCCGAAGTGGCTGAAATGAGTAGGAAATAAAGAAAATGAAAAATAAAATATTGTTAGTCTTACCTTTTCGAGACCAGATGTGTCTAAAGTGGCTGAAATGAGGTTAGATTTCTTGATTTTTGGATGTTGAAACAAACCAAAAAAATAGAAAACAATGCTTTACATCATATGATTTCAATGCGAAACAAACAAAAAAAATCAAATCTGAGAAATCCTCTGAAATGCACTGAAATGGATTTCAATATATTTTTGTATTTTCTTTTTTTAAGGAAATGAACCAAACAGGCCCTTAAAGATGCATGCTGCTGCTAGGTTTGGAAGGGAGGTCAGTCTTAGCATATTGGCTAATTAGTTCTAAACCACCTCAACTTTTTCCTACTTTGCACTTGTATGTTCTTGATGTTTCTAAAACTTGCACTTTAATATCTTATGTTGTGTAAACATGAACATATTTTTCTAAGTATTACAATAACAATAACAACAAAGTCTTTACCCTAAATATTTTGGGTCGGCTATATAAATCCTGCTTTTCCATTCCATTCTATTATGGAACATTTCTTCCGCTAAATTATCATCATCATATCCTGATGTCCCTCTTCATTGCTCCCAACCAAGTTCTTTTAGATCTACCTCTAGATTTTTTTATCCCATTAACTATAATATTATTGCATTCCCTAAGCGGTGCACTAAGAGTTCTCTGTTGTAGATGACCAAAAAACCTTAATCTATTCTCTCTCATTTTATCCTCAATTGGAGCAACATCTAATTTACTATGAATATACACTTTTTTTATCTTATCTTTTAGTGTATAGCCACAAGACTATCGTAACATACTTATTACTACTATGCTCATTTTTCACACATGTTGTTTCTTAAATTGCCTAATATTAAGACCCATAAAGCATTGTTGGTCTTATAATTGTCCTATTTTCCTAAATATTCTCAGCTGGAATTTAAAAGATAAATTTAAAAAATTTTACCCTTCAACTTTTTTCGAAATTACTGCTAAACACATCAATTATATTTAAAATTAAAATATAGATTTAATAGTAAATTCAACAAACATTAAGAGCTAAAAAGCTCTGAACTTATCTTCTAAGACCATCTCCAACCGGGCGTTATTTTGCCGCAAAAAGGGAAAATGCCGCTGATGACGAGCTCTAACCAGACGCCAAATCCCGTTGCATTTTAGCGGTGATGAACAGCGCGACGCCATATTTGGCGTCGCACTGTTCATCACCCCATTACTGTTTGTTTTTATTTTTTTTATTTTTATTTTTTTATTTTACCTTATACTTTTATGTATTTACAATTTGACCCTAATTGTTTTATTAAATGTATAAAACAACTCCAATAATATTTAAATTTTATAATTTTACCCCAATTGTATAATTTGGACAAAATAAATTATTTTTTAAAATTAAAAATAATGCTAAAATTTAAAAGACATTATTATTAATTATAATATTAAAATCTAGATATTAAGTAAAGTCCCATGAAATATAAAGAGCAATCCTAATACATAATTCAAATATAAATTACATATCTGAAATACATAACATATAAAAACTAATACGCATAATATAAAACTTCATTACAATAAAACATAAAATACAAACTAAACATGGAACATTTCCTGAGATGGACAAGCAACTCTCAATAATCTGGTAGATCGGGGCCAGAGTGTCCAATATCATTGAAATAATTGCCAAAATTAGAAGCAGACCATTGTTCTTGTTGATTTCTTTTTTGTATTATTTTAATCTGTTGAGCTCGAACGTACTCACGCACGTTTGGATCAGCAATGGAATTCAAATCTTTCATTATAATCTTCCATTCATCTCGATCTTTTTTCATGGCTATCTTTTCTCGTTCGATATCAAACGCTACTTGCCTGTCCAAGCTCGCCTTGTCTAACCTGTCTATAAGTCGGTTGCTGGAGGTCTCGATGGAGTCCACTACACTTGACTCATGATCATCATTTTTCCTTTTCAATTTAGCTTTTTTTATCCCAATAGGTCGTTTAGATGGAGTAAATGATGACAGTCCAGGAGATGTTGATATAGGAGATTCCGGAGTGGGATTATCTGATTGTGACGAGTCGAAGTTCACACTTTGGGATTGTCTTCAACCAACTTGTCTTGCTGTGGGGACATCATCTTTGAATTTTTCGAAATTTTTAACCATATTCCAGAAATGATCAAATTTGAAACCTTTTTTGTACTTTGGTTCTTGCATAAATAACATCTTTGCTCGAACTAACTGCAAATTATAGTGAACATCAAGTTATGTATTTCAACAATAATAATAAAATTTAGACGATAATTAATAGAATACTTACAATATTTTCATCTGAAGCACCACTTGGATTCAGATTCTCTACTTGTCTCAAGCACGCATTCAATTTCCTTACTTCATTACTTATGATTTCCATTCGAGAACGAATTGATCGGCTCGTACGCATCTCAAAATGCTGATCTCGAAGTTCATTGTATTTGTCCTCCACACGAGACCAAAATGCATCTCGAGACTGGTTTCTACCGATAATAGGGTCTTGAGAAATATCCAAGAATACTTAACAAAGGAGCACATCTTTAGTAACCATGTATCCAGTTGATCGAACTGATATTTTTTTGTAAAAAGCGGTTGGTTTGGAGATTAGAAATACTTTGAAGAAATACTTAGAATTGGGTGGTTTGAAGTAGAAACCGTGAATGTTATTTATAGCCAATCCAAATTTGTTTTTTATGTTTGAATTTGAATTTGAATTTGAATTTGGAATTGTGTGAAAGCTTTGTACGAGTGGGAATCAATTTTTGAAATCAGGTCAGCTTTACACATTGTCCAACGTATACACAGCTCAGCTCTCCTTGAATTGTGTGAAAGCTTTGTACGAGTGGGAATCAATTTTTGAAATCAGGTTAGCTTTACACATTGTCCAACGTATACACAGCTCAGCTCTCCTTGAATTGTGTGAAAGCTTTGTACGAGTGGGAATCAATTTTTGAAATCAGGTCAGCTTTACACATTGTGCAATGTATACACAGCTCAGCTCTCCTTGAATTGTGTGAAAGCTTTGTACGAGTGGGAACCAATTTTTGAAATCAGGCCAGCTTTACACATTGTCCAACATATACAGCTAAAAGAAAATTTGAATTTTGTGACAAATTGATAACAGCTAGAAAGCATTTCCTAAAATCAGCTCAACTTTACACATTGTTCAATGTATACAGCTAAGCAAAGTTTTATAAATAGCATACTAGATTAGGTACATCCACACAATTACTCGTTGTTGTGTTAAAATTATTATTCTCCATTTCTGCATACTTCAGTCATTTTTTTCTTACTTCAAAAATGAATTTCGATGTTGGAGGTCCATCATACTTATCATCATCTTCATCTTCGGATGATGATAATTTTCTGTCCAATATCATTGCAGAGATTGATGAAACCGAAGAAGTAATTTGTGAGTACATCAACAACAACATGATCCTCGTTAACAATTTACGTCAACACAACTACCAACCGATCCATGGTGGCTCGATTCCCGGTCATGCAGTGATCAACCGCGATCGAGAAAATGCGCATCAGAATTTGGTCATAGATTACTTTGCCGATAATCCACGTTTTGGAGAAGATATGTTTCGTCGTCGATATCGGATGTCAAGAAGTTTGTTCCTTCGTATTGTTGATGCAGTGAAAGATCATGACTATTACTTCCAACAACGAAGTGATGGACTTGGTAGAATGGGATTATCACCATTACAGAAAGTAACAGTTGTTTTTCGCATGTTGGCATACGGTCTACCAGCTGATGCTATGGACGAATACGTTAAAATAGGTGAGTCAACATCAATTGAAAGTATGACAAAATTTTGTCGTGCTATGGTGGAAATATTCGCAGAGCGGTATCTACGAACACCTAACACTAACGATATTGCTAGACTACTCTATATTGGAAAAAAACGTGGTTTTTCAGGAATGTTAGGAAGTCTTGATTGTATGCATTGGAAATGGAAAAATTATCCAACAGCATGGTCTGGGCAATACACAGGACGTAGTGGGTCACCAACTATTATCCTCGAAGCTGTGGCAGATTATGATCTTTGGATATGGCACGCATATTTTGGTATGCCAGGCACCAATAATGATATCAATGTGCTGGAGTCATCTAATCTTTTCTCTAACCTAGCTCAAGGTATTGCTCCTCCCGCTCACTATGTTATTCAAGGAAAAGAGTATAATATGGGTTATTATTTAGCTGATGGTATATATCCGAAATGGGCTACTATTGTACAAACAATCCAACAGCCACAAGGTAGGAAGAAAAAATATTTTGCCATGAAACAGGAAGCATGTAGAAAAGATGTAGAACGTGCGTTCGGAGTTCTCCAATCACGATTTGCAATCGTGGCAGGATCAGCACGTTTTTGGAAAAAACATGTATTACATGACATAATGACTGCATGCATTATTATGCACAATATGATAATCGAGGATGAACGTGATCTTTATGCACCAATTCAAGAAGTGAGGGAAGCACCAACACCAGAAGTTGATATGGTAGCAGATGAAACTACAAGATTTACTCAATTTATTGCACGTTACGGAAAAATCAAGGATAAAGATGCCCATATTGCGCTTCGTAATGCATTGATAGATCATCTATGGGAGGAATACACTAATTCAGATAGTTAAGTGCATACTAAATTTGTAATTTTTACATTGTTGTTAATGTTTAATTATTTTCTTACATTTTATTTTCTGTTGTGTTCTTGAATGTAATATTTTGGCAATATCAATAATAAAAATATAATATTTTAGCAATCAAGTTATTTTAAATAGGTATATAATATTTTATTGTTTTATTAGTTTAATTTTTTAAATAATAAATCATTTTGTTTGGAAAGTATGTGAAAAAATAAAATTTGATATGTGAGGTTAATTATTGAAATAGTTAAAAATATAGGGAATAAAAAATAATCATATAAAAGTAGATAAAAAGAAAGATACTAAGAATATTCCTTTTTGGTGCAAAAAATGGTGCAATGGGTTGTAGATGAATTACTGTTAGATGTGACTTTTGCACCATTTTGGTGCAAAATTTGCACCATTTTGAGGCAAAGGGTTGGAAATGCCCTAAGCGTTACAAGGGAAAATTCAGGATAAAATATCATGTTCACATAATATAGGGTATTAAAGTACAAATTTTAGAAATTTGAGGGTACATAAGAGCTGCTAGAAACAATTGAGGGTATGTAAATGCAAAGTGGGGGAAACTCTAAGATACTTAAGTGCTAATTAGCCTAAAAATGTTTTATTCTTTTGGTAAGCATACGGCTATCCGTCTATCCGGCCATAAAAAAGTAAGTTGAGGGGAAAGTTTGGACATTGAGGGACCAATTTGTAATACCATCTAATACAAGGGACATAATAGTAGTTTCAAAGATTGAATTGGAGAGAAGAAACATGGAGTGAAAACTTGGGAACAAAAGAAATTCCGCATAAAACTTCATGGGCTTTGGATCCTATATTCCTTTGTATTCCACATAAAACCTGGGTACAAAAGCAACGTGACCCGAACCCGACCCGTTGCTACGCTTTACTTTGATGCCACAATCATGCTTTGCTTTTGAACTTTAATAAACCATTACTCAATTAACCATTATGTGACCTCATTCATTGTGCCATACAGCATCTCGCCTTCCTGGGTCCAGTCCAGCTTATAGGGGACCTAATGTATGAGACAGATGATGTGTCATCATCCAATTACATGATATACCGATATTTAACCGTTACATCTTATCTGTGTCATGTCTTGAGTCATCTATTTGTGTTAGTGAGGCATTAATGTACAACATAACCCAACCCAAACAAAACCCGGGTTGGCGTCTTTTCAATCCTCGCTGTTTCTTGCCTTGGTCACAGAGGGAAGCATCGAATTCTTCTACAGTTTGAATTTTCTTTTGAGTATAAATTCTTCTGATTTCCCCCGCTATTTTGATCGATTCCCCCCAATCCGTAAGATCAATTTCACCTCTTCTATTTGTTACGATCCAATCTTCATTCCAAGCTAGTAATTTTGGCGATTTTAGGTTTTTTTTTTGCACCCCCTGATAGCATGGGGGATTTTGAAAATTGGTTGTTGATTTTATACCCGAATTGCTACTTAATTTCTCCCTACGATTCTCAAAGTTTCTGGCTTTGATACCAAAGTTGGGTCCTTTTGTAATGATAGATGTTCATCGTCTCGGCTGGGTGTTGATTTCGTAGTTAATATTCCTGCGATAAAATTTAGCAACGTGCTTGTAGGTTATGCATTGAGCTCTTTGGTTGTGGTTTACAGGTGGGCGTTCTGGTTTGTATCATGCTCATCATCTGATGGTGATCTTTGGAAGGAGAGCCCTAAAGAGATAAGCTTAAACACATTGAAAGGCTCTCTTTTTTGCTCATATCTTGATTTCTGCAGATGTCTGGTAGTTTTAGGAGTTATAATGTCCGTAACGTGGAGCTTGAGGAGTTTGTGCGGATAGAAACTATGTGTAAAGAGGTAGGACATCGTGCTCTATTCGGATGTTTCCATCATTGTTCCTTCACTTCAGCATGGTTCATATGGTTCTCCTTTTCTTTTAATTTCTTCACATGGTTCAGATAACTGAGTAAGTAGTTGCCAAGTTAAGAATATTTAATAAATGGGTTCGTGTGAATGCGAACTGATGTTAAAGGTGAGAAAGACTTCTAAGGTTGCTAATCAGTCTGTCTGTTTCCTTAGCTTGATGCGGTTGACATTTGATACCGCCGGAGTTAATTGTGTCCGTAAGAATGACTTCACATAGGTTTTTTAGTTTCTCTTTGTTCCTCTTCTTTCTATTTTGCAATACATCATGATGTCATTTACTGATATAGAGATTTTTGAGTGTTTACACAAGGATAAGAACTTTCTATGCACGATGGGATTCCTCTTCGGTACCTTAGGTAATATGCATAATTTACCTGAAGTTATAACTAAGCGAGTTATCATAGCTTTTTGATCTATCTTTTTGGGGATGATAGAGTTTTTATCGTCAACCCCTAAACTGATATATCAGAATCAATGAGGCACTTCAGATTCATGCTAATGAAGTCGGTAAAGGTGGCATACCGATTGGATAATTTTGCATGCTTTGCTTTAATTGATTCTGGTGCTTCCTTTCTTATATTAAAAAAAAATTTAAAATGCAGTACAATCTTATTTGGATATGTTGTGTGGTTTTCTAAATTTTAGTTTCAATATTTTGGATGCGTAGATCTAGATGTTTGAGTATGCTATCAATGTCGGAATTATAAGAATCAAAATAATGATTCTCAGTATAAAATGAGTAACTTTCTGTTTCCTTGTATTAGCTAAAGAAAGAAAAGGATATTCTGAAGGAGTCGCTGTTGAAAGAAAAGTCCAAAAATGCTGAGCTGATTCAGGTAATGTTTATGCATATATCCTTCAGCACCTTATTTTATATATCTTCATATTTTTATATTTTTGTTGCTTCAAAGTTCTGAGGGTAGGGTCATCAAATATCATTCTCTTCAAACTCAAATAATTATTAGGAACTTGTAACTTGTGCTCAGCACATAAATATTCATTTGATTCATGATAAATTAGATTAGAAACACTAGGTTGAACTCTTTTCATATGAAAATCTCTTAATTGTCATTGTTTTAATTGGCTTGGTAATGATGTGGTATCTGGTATCTCTAGACTAGAAACTTTCCCTATTGAAGGATATATCAAGTTGGTGATTTCTCATAACCACACACTTGCGGAACTTCTAATCTACTGTCTTTTGTTTCTTCTTTGAGGTAACAACATCTTACAGTGTCGTGGCATCATTTTATGGCATCGTCAATGATTTCTATTGATCTGTGCTGGATGGATATACTGCTTTCTCTCGGGACAAGCTTGACCTATCTCTGGTGTTATGACACTGCCTTTTAAGCTTTTAACTTGTTGGACCTCAAATACTCTGAGGATACTCTAAGGACACTCTAACTTAAAATGAAGTCATCATATCACCAAGGTGTTGCCTTCCACTTTAGGGGCTTAAGGATCAAGTCTTAATCTATGTAGCACGGACACGGATCCGACACGGCCATCCGACACGCCGACACGAGGCAAATCCTAAAAAATACATAGGATACGTGTGTTCGACACGTGTGTCCGACACGGACACGACACGACACGGTTTCATGTTATGCGTGTCCGTGCTTCATAGGTCTTAATCATGATAACTGTTTTAACCAGTTTATCAAACCATTGAGAGAACATATTTAGTTTTCTGATACATGCAGATGCCTTTGTGAAAGGATCCTGCCACTACATAAAAACTATGAAGCTGTGGCGAGGGATTGAGGGTTAAATTTTGTTATATTCTAACATGTCCTCGTGGGTTGAGTGCCTTTTCATGGTCCATTTTTCACATTTTCTTTTAATATACTATGATACTTTACGCCAGTATGTGTATTTATATATGATTTTTAAGATTCAAAGCCACCTTTCAAGCAACACTAACTAAGAACTGTGCTCCTTCTTTGATATTGGCATATTGCCATCTGTATAACTCTATCCCACTTTCCATGTAGATTTCTCAACGTTCAAAGGCACTACCTAAATTCAAACAAAAGACTATTTGTTTCATTTTTTTTTTTCAATTTGCTTATCTTATCTTTTGTGTTGCATTCTGTTTCAGTTTTTCTAGTTTATAATTTCTAGATTTCATTTAAGCATGTAATCCTACATTTTAGGTGTTTTGTTTATAGAAAGATATTAGAAATCGTAAATTGTTTCTGCAAACTATATTGTTAATAGACATTAAAAATTGTGTATACAGAGAATGCAGTCAAATGCAGTGTCAGAGGCTTGTCTCAGAGACAAGAGGTACATAAAGGAACTGGAAAAGGAACTGAGGAACTGCTCACTAGAAATAGGTAAGCATATTATGCTCCCTTTAAATTTGACAGGAAAAATATATGCCTAGATGCCAGTCAGTGTTGGGGATAAAACCTTTTCCAGGTTTCCTACATGTATAAGTACCTTGATCATATGCTAATTATATATTTATTTGCATGCTTTTTCTGTAGTTAAAATCATATAGTGTTTTGAAACTGATACTGTCACGCCCCGCTTCCCAAAAATACCCGGGAATCGGAACGTGAACAAGCCCGCGACGTATTAGATTGAGAAGAATAAATAAAAATAAACATTTCTCCTCAACTTAATACGCTAAGCGTCTGGAAATAATACATTGCAAAGGCACAGGTCCCAGATCACGATCAACAAGAATATAATGAACACCACAGAATAAAATAATACATATCACAATGAATATTCATCCCAGACATTATAATCGGGTCAACATGCTCTTATACAAAATGAACAAATGAATACTAGAGAACTATAATACATCGTTTAGACTGAAATAGGAAGTACTACAAGAGTAAACGGAACCATCGACTGATAAATGGAAAGAATAGACTTTGACTCCTGCTCCGTTTATAGGGTAGGTACTCCTGCTGAGAATACTCGGCTCTGGCGCATCTCCAAGCTGAACCTGTTCTTCCTCTAAATCTGACGTACACCAGAGAAAACAGGTGTACGTCAGGGTGCATGGCACACGGTAAGACCCCACAAAAGAAAAGAACGAACGAAAACCCAAGCGAAAAATGATACGATAACCGAAACGACAAAAGAACGTGCAACTGGTAATCCAACAAAATCACATACAATCCACTACCAAAACATGATAATCATAAGAATCCGTAAATCAATCGGGTAACGAAATCATGCAGCTAGCGATCAGAATAATCATCCAAGTTACAAGGTCATACAACTAGATGGAATTAATATTTAAAAATCTACAACTCGAGACGTAGTACGTCGAGCGAAATAATCCAAACAAGGAAACCCTCATGTATATACCATATGTCTTAAATTGTAGATAATTAAATATTAATCCCGATTTATGTATGAAAAGAAACACAATTGGCCTACATCTCACAAGAATCATACTTAGCCAAGAATCGAGGTCATGTAACTAACCATCCTATTTCAACTCACTGGTTCACATTTCACATAGAGTCAACACATATCATCGGATAACTGACTGTTTACAAATCCTCTACGTGCATCCAATACGCCGCTACACTAGATCGGTCAGAGGGCTACACACAATCCGTTTTTGGCCTGGTTCGAACTCAAGCAAGAATCAGGTGAATATCAAGCTCACGGACCAAAGTGGCTATACCGGCTCCACTTTGACCTAACAAACCAACCCCAAGCTACACTGGATCATGGGGAGGCCTGGAAGATACATCAACAGCCTTATCCGATCACATGAACATGGACTTTCCCATCCCAACTCTCTTGTATTTTCTAAATCAACCATAATCCTCATTGAAACTCGGATTCACCATCTAAACTCAGTCAACACACCCACACATGTCACTAAGTCTGTTCATGACGTACGAGGCTACTAAGTCATGGACTACTAATGGTTCTCAATCACAGCAAATAATAGCAAAAACAACTGGTCATGTACAATAATCAAGGTTTTAAATATCGGTTATCGGGAATTTATCGGACGATCAAAATTCTTATCGGATAGCGGAAATCGGGGATATATCGGGGATAAGTAGTATTTATCGGAGTGATATACTAGATGGTGTATATATATAATATAATAACTAAAAAATGTAATCTAACCATGCTTAATGAAATATAAACGTACCAAAATGTAAATCATCATGTTTAGAATCACTAACCAATTATAGAAAGCAAAACTTGCATCTTGACCGCACGATAAAACCATTCGATTGCATAGCCTTACTTATCGGCCGATAATCCCGATAAAAAAACCTTACTTATCGGCCGATAAGTACCGATAACGCCGATAACTCCCCGATAACTTGCCAAAAACGATAACCGATTAAAAATCCAAGTTATCCTATCGCCAAAAACGATAACCGATTAAAAATCCAAGTTATCCTATCGGAGAGCTCCCAAATCCGATAACTCGGCTGATAATATCGGTTATCGGCCGATATTTAAAACAGTGACAATAATATCATGGCAAATCAGGTAATCGAAATTAAGAGTCATAAATTTATGAACAACCAACTATGTAATTTAGAAAATAATCTTTTTTCAAAATAAATTATTTTAAATTATTGTAATCTTCCTAAAATGATTCCTTTCACAAAATAAATTCTTTTAAATCATCATAATTATCAAAAATATAATTCTTTTGACGAAAATAACTTAACAACTCAAAATGACCCCTTTTCCGAAATAAATATTTTAAAATTATCTATTCTAATAATTATTCAAAACCAACCGGCCAACCCCTTTTTCCAATTAATCATTTTCTTATCATAATAATTCTAAAAATATCTCAACATAACCACCTTTACACAAAATAAATTTTCCTTTAAATTACTCATCATAATATCATTGTTAAATATTAACCATCAACAAGCCACGCAGATAATAACAATTCACAATCTAATCTATGTAACTAATTAGCGACAGACATAAATAGGAAATGACGAATCAAAAGGAGCGGGATCTTGCCTACGAGACCAAGGGGTCTGATGACGAGCAGTGGGGCCGATGCGGACGCGGTACGTCAGATCTGAATGGTCGAGTCATGACGGATCTGCTGGAGGTGGATCTGGATTGCGACGAGGACTGCAGGGGCTGACCACGGGGAGTTCGACGGGGCTATAGGGCTGCCGTCAGGGGAGGATCACGACGGACATCGATGCGCCTAGGTGAGGGGCGCTCGAGCAGCGGGCACGGTGGTGCAAGGAGGAGGGTGGTTAACAGATCTCGGAGGGCTCAGCGAACGGACTGCATGCTGGGGCGGCGAGCGCAATGGCTGTGACTGCAGGTGGCTGACGCGCAGCCGGCCTGAGGTAGGAGGGGATGGTCGGCGGCGGTTGCTGGAGCTCATGGAGGCGGGGTGAAGGAGAGCTGATGGCGGTTGAGGGCGGAGGGGACTACAACGGCGACGGTCTTTGGAGTTCGCCGACGATGGGTGGTCGCGGGGGCTCGGAGTTGACGTCGTTGGTGGTGAAGGAGAGAGGAGAGCTGTCGGGGATTCTGGGGGCGTTGTTGGCGCATGGTTAGGGCTCGGCGAATCTGACCCCAGGCAAGCTGGGGACGACGCGGGGTGGTTGAGTTCGTTGGTGACGAGGAGAGGAGTTCACGTGGCGACTCGGGCTGCGCATCGTGGAGGAGAGAACGTGGGGTTGGGGAAGAAGAGAAGGAGAGAGAAAATGGGAATGCGGCGGCTGATGAATTTGGGTAGGAGGAGAGAGGATGTTATATATATATATATATATATATATATATATATATTATATATATATTAGGGTTTAGGGTTAATGTTTAAAACAAAAATAATTAAAATAAAATAGTTACGGGTATTTACAAATTAAACTAATTACATAATAATTATCTACAAATAAAAATGTGCATGTTGTGCTAATACAACAGTTGATACGAAATAGTCAAAATATACCCATATTGTATAATTTAACAAGAATAAATAATAATAAAAATATATTTACTTACATTTAAAATCAAATAATTATGTGACAATTATCTACACGATAAAACGTACCAGTTATGCTAATACGACAGCTGATACGTAATAATTAAAATAATACAATAATTTACACAAATAATACGTAATTAATAATTCAACATAATACAAGAATTTATACGTAATAGTAATAATAATACGATGTATTATTTAAAATAATACGTAATAGTATCAGAAACCTAACGGATAAATTCTAGAAATGTTTACTGCACTAAATAAATTTATAAATATTAAAATCATTTAAATAAATATAAAACTTAGACTTTAAATCATAGAAAATTATAAAAATTTGAGAGAAAATATAAATACTCTTTTAAAAATCATAATTAAATATTTTAAAATATAAAAAAATTATTTTAACTAGTATTAAAATTCATGGTCCTTACAGATACATTTGTAGGACTTAACTTTTGTCAACCTTTTCCAGTTTCCTACATGTATAAGTACCTTGATCATATGCTAGTTATATATTTATTTGCATGCTTTTTCTGTAGTTAAAGTCATATAGTGTTTTGAAACTGATATATTTGTAGGACTTAACTTTTGTCATGCATGTATATCCCTTTCATGAAGCTTCATTGTATAGAAAGTTAACAAAGGAGCTTTTTAGTAGATAGATGGTGGAATTAGCTTTTTTTAGCTCTGATGAATATTTCTCAAGAGGAATTTTTGTTCTCAGAAATTAGAAGGCATGATGTGGTTTTCTAGACTTATTGAATATGCCAGAATTGAAACTTTTTACAGCGCAATGTCTAATGACAATGTTGCAGGATATCTGCAGGACCAGCTCAACCTACGAAATGTTGAGTCAAATTGTATGGGTGAGCATGTCCATAGCCTTGAACTAAAGCTTGCAGAAGTTGGAAGCTTGCATGAAAAACTAAAGCTGTTGAGTGAAGCATTAATGCAATCTGATTCAAGAAATTTAAGTTTAATCCGAGATGTAAAAGATAAAGGTGAGGAGTTGCACAACTCAGCATTGCAGATAGAAGAATTGGAGACAGCCATCTCATCTATTGCATTGGACTCTCAATGTGAGATAGAGACCATGAGGCTTGAAATAGCAGCATTAGAGGAGAGGTGCTTTGAAGCAGAGAGACTCTGCCAACATGCTGCTCAAGATAAGGCCAAAATGGAGTTACTATTGGAAATGTCTGAATCTCAATTCCAGGATGCACAGGAGAAGATTAGTTGTTTAAGAAAAGAAAATAAAAATCTTAAACAGAAGCTCCTCTTATCTGAAGTAAATGCTGATGGATCATGCTGTAAAATTGGAGAGCATCTTGATACTTGGGTGAGAAACAACGGAGGAATAAATGTCCCTGTTTATGGTGGATCATTCCGTGATTTACTGGTGAAGCTCACAAAAGAGTTCCCTTTATTGAAAGAAATATGGTAAGCTTGTACTCAATCATTCACTATATTTTAGTTCTTTATTCTGTTATTCTTGAGCTAGCTTAAAAGCTAACTAGTATCTTGAAGACATCATTCATTGACATATTTTATGACGTGACTGTCTGAAAATAATTCCATTCCCAAATTAGTGATTTCATTTTTGTAAGTAGCAATCCCTGAACTTTAGTTTGGAAGTTTAAAGTCACAATCTCGAAATATTTGTACGAACACAGTGTTGTAAATAGCGGCCAATAGCGGGGCTATAGCGGCGCGAATAGCGGTCGCGGCCCTTTAGCGCTACGCGTAGGGGTTTCGCGGTTGACTTAAGCGGGAAAATCCGCTATTCATTCGAATAGCGCGTAAAAGCGGGTTTTCGCGGGCTAAAAGCGGGTTTTCGCGGTTAAAAGCGGGTTTTCGCGGTTAAAAGCGGATTTTCGCGGTTAAAAGCAGATTTTTGTTGTTAAAAGCGGCTAAACCCGCTATCACACATATTATGATGCTATATTTCTTGAATTTCTTCATAGTTTCATTCATACAACAAGCTTATTAATTGTTATTTATTGATAATACAAGAAATTTACAACTAATTGAATTTTTAGAATTTTTTATGAATTTTCTTATTATTTAGGATATTTAAATATATTTAAATTTGACCGCTATTTGACTGTGCGCTAATTGCCGCGATTTCGCCGCAATAGCCCGATATAGTCTTAGCGGTACCTCGCCGCGACGCGCTGCGATCCGCTATCAGCAACCTTGTACGAACATATGCACTGCTATACAGTAAATGTTTCTGGTGCCAGCTTCCATTGTCATTTTTCGGCAAGGCAAAATAGGCATAATCACAACTCTGGGATATTTATTTATGTGTTAATTCTGAACCATAACAGTTAAAGATATATTTATATCTGAGAACACTACATTAGAGACTCAAATCA